TCTCATCTTCCAGCTCCCCAGATACTCCGCGCACTAAAGTTATACTACCAAGTCGCCAGTTCTCATCTTCCAGCTCCCCAGCTACTCCGCACTACAAAGTCGCCAGTTCTCATCTTCCAGCTCCCCAGATACTCCGCATAAAGTTGTACTACCCAGTCACCAGTTCTCATCTTCCAGCTCCCCAGCTACTCCGCGTACTAAAGTTGTACTACAAAGTCGCCAGTTCTCAGCTTCCAGCTCCACAGACTGCTCCGCGTACTAAAGTTGCACTAGCCACTCGCCAGTTCTCATCTTCCAGCTCCCCAGATACACGCGCGCATGGGACAAGTCACACTCTCGCCTGCTTTTCCCGCACTCGACACGCACGATCTCCGCAGAGGGTTGCGCGGGCACCGGACAAATCGCACTCTCGCCTGGATTTCGCGCTCTCGACACGCACGATCTCCGCAGAGGGTCGCGCGGGCACCGGACAAGTCGCACTCTCGCCTGCACTTCGCGCACTCGACACGCACGATCTCCGCAGAGGGTCGCGCGCGCATGGGACAAATCGCACTCTCGCCTGCACTTCGCGCACTCGACACGCACGATCTCCGCAGAGGGTTGCGCGCGCATGGGACAAATCGCACTCTCGCCTGCATTTCGCGCACTCGACCCGCACGATCTCCGGAGAGGGCTGCGTGCGCATGGGACAAATCGCACTCTCGCCTGCATTTCGCGCACTCGACACGCACGATCTCCGCAGAGGGCTGCGCGCGCCACGGACAAATCGCACTCTCGCCTGCATTTCGCACACTCCACACGCACGATCTCCGCAGAGGGTTGCATTTTCGGTTGACGCTGTTCGTCCCACCCTCCGCCTTTAAAGAGAATATATAAAGTGGTGAAATGTTTTTCATTAGGATATCTCCCGTGAAAGTTTTTTCATACTCACACTTGCTTACTTGCACTGGGATACTTACACTTGCATACTTGCACTTGGATGCTTTCACTCTTACACTTACACTGGGATACTTACACTTGCATACTTTCACTTACAAACTTTCACTTGGATACTTCTGTGCCATTGTGAGTATAGAAGTGTAAGTGTTCAAGTGTAAGTGTAGAAGTGTAAGTGTTCAAGTGTAAGTAGAAGTGTCAGTGTTCAAGTGTAAGTGTAGAAGTGTCAATGTTCAAGAGATTTTCCGGAAGAACCCTTCGCAATGCTTTCGGGAATAAACATATGTTTTTCTTTTTACGTCTAATGAGCCCCCCCATTGTGGATTTGGGATTCGTGCCCCGTGTCCATCCCAAACAAAGACTGCACTGAACCGACGGCGTCTCATTCCAAAAGGCAAAGAAATCTGGTTAAACACACGCACACGCCATAGAAGGGATCTCTCCATACGAGAAATCTGCCTGTGTTTATTTGGGATCCTTGGCTCGCTTTCATGAAGCGAACCCCTTCCAAAAACCACCAACCCATGCCGCACCTGAACACATCGGCAGGCGTTGAGGCCGTTCGGACGGCGTCGACAACCAGTGGCAGCAAGCACATCCTGAGCTCCACAGAAAAACGCAATGAACTTGGGGGATCAAGAAGATGAGGGCTAGCCGGGCTTGCTTTTGTTTGACCCGCTACTTGATTAAGTAAGGGAGTAAGCTACTAGCTACTAGCTGGTAGTAACTGGACGCGGGGTGGCTCACGCACTAATGATTGGTCCCTAGATTTGTCCGAAGCGGTGTGGATTTAGGAGGATTCAGGTTAGGATTCTCCACTCCATTGTATGTTTCATCTAAAGAAAACACGTGGGAATGTCAGAGCTCCAGTCCCAAGACAAAATGACAATATGTACTGTAGTATGGCAAGTTCTGCTGCTACATTCTGAGAAGCTAGTGTAGGCGGCAACCATCTTGTCCACTGCCCATCCTGTTCAAGGTCGTTCTGACATTTTGACGCTTGGCCAAGTGGCACTGTCCTCGGGCAAAGCCATCTCATCCACAGCAAAACACTGGGTCCAAACCCCACGTGGCGCGTGGAGGACCCAAGAGATTGAGTTTGGCAGACTCACAGGCTCTAACTTGCGAGCCCAAGCTGGCGGAAAAATGGAAGGCTGGGTTACAGGTGGCAGTTCTTGCACAAGGCCATCCAACAGGCTTTGGGTTTGGTATGGGTGAAGGAATCAACATTGTGACTGAAGACCGCTGTTAGCCTCCCTCCGTCACAGGCTCAAGTTGCCCTTCCAAACAGAGATGTCCGATGGTTGGAATGACGAAGCACGACAGCTGTCTTCCATGAATGAATGTGCTGACTGATCTACAAGGCAACAACTCGCAGTATGAACTGGATACACGTGCATCCCAGTTCCTCCGTACTACTGGAGCAATATCCTCTCTTCCCTCGTTTTCGCCCCAAGGGCTGTCACCCTCATCCTCCACCTCCTCCTAGCAAATCCATTGAATCCGCCATCCGCCATCCGCATCCATCCGCCACAGGCTTCCACACCGTTTCACCCCACGAGGGTGAAGCTCAAAGTCCTCGGCTTTCAACCAGTCGAGTCCTCGCCGAGTTGGGCGCGTTGTTGTCCAGGAGTCGGCCAATGCCACTGGCGGCCAATAGTAGTAAGGCCAGGAGCCCCTAGTAGCTTCTTGCTCCTAGGGTAGAAAAAACTATCAGATCAAAAGCACAAGTTTCGACCCAGACATTTTTATAGGCCTATAGCTTTTGTATCAACAGAAGATTGGTGGATGGGCAGTGGGAAGTTTACTTTGAGGTTCGTAAGGGGTGCGGGGTACCGGAACAACATGAACCCTTATCAAAACGGTCATGATTCGGTCACAACCCCTATAAAGGGGGCTGAAGCTGAAGAGCGTCATTGTTTGGAATTGCGTAGAACGTTACAAAATTTTAGCTAGGGTGCATCAAATGGCACACTTGCAGGGAGAAAGGAAAACCACGGGAAGGAACCGTTTGCTTGCCTTTCATGGATCTTGTGATGCAAATGGTGCAGGGGGCATCACAGGTTCATAATGTCTAAGAGAAGTGGAAATACTACGAGTGGCCATGTTGTCACGTCTCCATTTCCATTTTGGTGGCCTCAAAAACTAGGCCGCGTATGAGTATCACGGCTTAGCCGCAGAGCTTGGCACTATTGCAAGATACATTGGTTAGCATCCCCCACGCGTTCCCCAATTGCAGCGCAGCAATTATACTAACGTTGCGTGAAAGACCACCCGGGCCGAAATCCGAATAGAATCGGCGAGATGACACGAACCTCACATGAAATGGAACTAACCCTCCCAGATCACAATTCCACTAGAATTTGCGAGATGCCACAAAGAATTGACGTGTCTAAGTTAAAGTACACAGGAAGGGTCCCGAATCGATTCGGAACCGAACTTTCGGAACCGAAAGTCAGCGAATGTCAAGAACAAAAATTTTTCATCAACCGAATCATTACAACCGTTAGTTTTCCAAACACGACTGTCCAAAGTCTTGAGTTTCAGAGCAGCAGTCCCCCACTGGAATGTCCATACAGTATGTCACTGGCCCGGCCCGGCTTCAGGCGCATTCATAAAATGCTGTCCTTTCCTTTTCGTTTTCCTTGCTTTCCTTTCCAATATGCTTGTTATATAGACGGCATGGAAAAGGCATATTCACAATTGCATTCCTACCTGTACATGTCCATTTCCTTTTCCTTTCCTTTGCTTTCCCTGACATTGTCCTTTCCTTTCCTTGTCCTTTTTTCCTTTCCTTTCCAATATGCTTTTTAGACTGCCAGGAAAAAGCATGTTCACAAATTGCATACCTTACCTATCCTTTTCCTTTTCCTGTCCATTGCTTTGTACAGTATTTGAATCTTTCCAATTTAGGTTAGTGGCATTGCGCTAGAGCCATGCAGTTCTCCAACCGGGGGCGTTAGTGGCACGTTAGTGGCACGTTAGTGGCATTGTACTGCAGCCATGCAGTTCTCGTTGGTGACATTTGCAAAGCTGCTTGTCCTTATTGCAAGATGTATAGCACTTTCAAAACCCCTTCGGCAAGGCAATTTGCAGAATCCTCCCAAGAACCACTGTTTCTCGACTCACAGAAACCAACAGGAAACCCTGACAACACAAACATCATAAACTTCAATTACCCACAGACGCCGGGCTTGGAATGTCTGTCTGCTACGCAGTGGAATGTCATCAGAAGTGAAGGGGAATCAGACTGCTCAATTGAATGAGAGCACTGGGGTCACTCCCCATTTTGCTCTACTGTGGGAGCGGAAAATGGTCAGACTGAGTCAGACTCCCATCAGGCAAGAACAGTCTGACAATGGTCTAAGCCAAGTGGAAGTCCACAATGGACTCTTGACGTTGACTGCTCTAGGCTCACAGGTTCCGGCCTTCTGTCATTCGCTTTCAGGCTCGCTTTGCAGGGTGTGAAGCAACCGAAAAGGCTCGTGACCTTGCGCTTCTTGAAACGGATAGCCTGTGTGGAGAGTATCGAACGCAATTTGGGGATACAAACCTCGTCCCAGTCCTTCTTTGGCACATCGCTCCACCTGGGGTGGCGTGGTCTCAGATATCTCAGATATCATAACCAAGATTTGCATAGATGCACAAGCAAAATGATCAAGAAATAGGGGAAAAGAGCGTTTGCTGCTTCATCATGGTGAGAAGTCAATAATGTTTGCTCGTGCAAAAGAGTCGTAAGTCAACCCCCCCTCCAAGCATTCGCTTGAGCCCTGCGCCACGAAGGTTTGCCAATCGCCGAAGTGATGGAACCTGCAGCCGAGGATGAATCAATGTGGGCCCTGAAAGCAGGAAACCTGCCGTAGTTGATCACAGAGTTCTCTTGTGCCACGTGGCACTGACAAACATGACAAACCACTATCACTACCAAAAGCATGAGACCCTCAAACTCGAGCTCGGATGTGCAGGCTTTGGATCCAGCTGCATTGACATGAAGGGGCTCATATCTACTTAATGATAACTCAATAAGTAATAAGTATACAGTATACATCTGGTGAACGTCTGAAGTCTGAGCCAGGCACATCTCATCTGCGACTCTTAGTTCTTTAGGCGCAGGTCTAGCTATGTTGCGAATGATGGTGATCTGCAAATTCAGCGTTATCCAAACAGAGTTATGCAGTATGCAACATTGAAGAAAAAAATCATGGGTTTGTCTTCAATTGAGAGGACGTTTCGAAACATCCCCACTATATATATAGATCCAAAAGCCAACACGTCGCAGAATCCTCAAACCCGTTCCACAGGTCACCAAAAACAACCAGCTCTGAACTCCTTCGACCGTCTCCGTCACCAGTGGAACTTCAACCTTCGATTCGTCCGGAAGCTCAGCTGTTTGGTGCCTCGCAGCAACTTTGATTCCTTCCACATCAAGAAAACGGCGCGAGCTCCTCCAGCGTCACATGACCCTGGAAGGTTTTTGTCAGGCCAAGCTGTCCTTCAAAATCGACCACGTGACGGGGTATAGGATGTCAACTTTGTACAAGAAATAAAGAACATGAGCAAACATATACTATGGAATGGGAGAGCGGACACTTCACCAAAAACTGCAAAATGAAGGGGAGGTTCTGAGAAACATGAAACATCCAACAGCACTAGCATCGGTTCTGAGGTTTGACCGGATTCTCGCTTCATACAACGTCAATCCCGACGATCGAAGCTGGCCGATTCCGACAGGGACACACTCCCCATCATTCCCCCGTCCGGCACTGCAGGTAGATCTCGTCCTGGCCAGTCAGAAGCCTTCCCTAGTCATTATCATCGTTGTCCTGATCACTACAAGCAAGTGAAATATTCCGAGCATCATGTCTTTCGGCAAATATGGGCAAATAAAGAGTTGGGCCTTGAAGCCCTGAGCAAAAGGTTGGAAGTGTGGTGCACAAAAGTGTCTTGACAAATTATGCTTACACGACTGAATTTGGGATGTGACTGTCACGTGACCTGCAAGCAACCCCATTCGCCAACAAAGCACGGCGGATCATGTCATGGGAGAGGCGACCTCCTAACCTACCCAACTTCAACCACCCAAGTCTCCACGTTGCCCGGGCGGGCCGAGTGTCGCAGGGGTCGTCGGTGATTGCCTTTGATTCGGACCTCGGTGTCAGGGGTTCTTGGGTCGTCGGTGGCAGAAGAAACAACGACCAACTGGATCGCTGGGCCCTCCAACGACCAACTCAGCACAGTTCTGCCGGCCCTGACGGCCGGTCACCTGGAGAGCAGCAAAGAATCCAAATGAGGTGAACCTGCTCAAATTGTCTCCATGTTTCCGGAAATTAGTCAAGATCCTATGTCGAGCCACATGAGCATAACCTCAACCAATGGATAAACTCATCCATTGGAAGAAGAATTCGAACTGGCAGGGTGGGCCAACTGGGCCTCCCTATTTTGAGACACGTATCATTTGGAACACCCAAGTATGTCCATGGTTTTTATGTCCTGGGCCTCCCTATTTTTAGAACACCCTAGTACACGGCTTTGCGATTGTGCACCTGGCCCGCCAGAACACTGTGCATACAGGGTGTTCCGGTGTTCCGTGTATGTCTGATCATCTGATCATGCCCTCACCAACCTAATAGCAATGGCCTCCAACCTACTAAGCGATGGCCTCCAACCTAAGAGCGGTGGCCTCGAAGACACTAAACTCACTAAACGCCCTCCCCTCAAAACCAATCGTTCACCAAGCCTTTCCAGTTGAGCTGACTGTCAAACAAGCGCCTGAAGAGACGTTCTGGGCGCTTGAGAGGTGGCTCCAGAAAAGAATAGAAAATAAAGAAGATTTACAGTCTGTCGCTGAAACGCAACCACAGCGTCACAATGTCCTTGACGGCCAATATCGAATCACATACTCTTTGGTCCTTAACATAGTGTTTCTGCAAGTGGTTTCACCCTGCTTAAGGCTGCCAAAGGCACCCGTGTGCGCCAGCAATCTCACGGCGTCACCCTCGTGCACCAGTGAGCCTAATCCCACCTCAGAAGGGCCAAAAT